AATTTCAAATCTATTGGGGTCATTTGAAACTACATACTTTAAAGATTATTCGATATCAATACATTTAAAACCAATCGTTTTAAAAGCATCGTGTTCGGAGTTTTTAGAATTTTGAACAGAGAAGTTTATTATACATATAAGTGACTTTAGTTACTAAAATTACGAAAATAGTGACTTTTAAATAATAAACAAGTAATAAATAGTGACATTTATATGGTGACTCAGAAATTCAAATACGCTTTGATATTGAATTAAACTCCATTATTTGTCGTGGAACCGTTTCATACATTCCTCTAATTTGGGAAATGAATGTAAATGCTCCTAATTTGGATCCATACATAAATTCAGCAATCGACTAAATTTTCAATTGCGACCAAAAATATCCATTAGTACCGCCCCAATGACGCGTTCATCTAGATAAAATTGATAAATAGCAGATTTTCAGCGATGGACCCAATCTCTGGAATCTCTCAACAGAATCTGACGTGATGACGTGATTTGAATAATTTTCTTTTGATTAACTTAAACTAAATAATGTATGAACCAATAGTCATAAGGTTAAATATTTAAAAATTACTTGAATTCTCATTATAACCCTCATGTAATTAACCTCAGACCTGCCTTAATTTTTTTTTTCTCTGAATGCTCTTGAACCCTTAATTTCTTAAACTAAAACACGTCATCTTACAAAAGAAAACCGGAAGTCATTCTGGACTTCAAGATGACATCGCGTTTATATATTACAAAAAACGAATATTATAGCATGTTAAATCGCACACTTAATCATGTGTGTAAAGTGCACGAATGTTTTGCACTCACTTGAATATGTACAAGCCCATTTGTACACAAGTTTGTACTCGTGTGCAATCAACAAGTTTACACTCACGTACAAACTCATGCGCTTGTACTCATATGGGAGACGGCTTGTATAAAGGCGAAGACAACATATCAAGAAGACTGGCAACTCTTCCATTTTCTCATACGACCGCTATGATATGAGACCGGCGCAGTCGCGTCATCTGCCGTGCAAAGGTAAATGCTTGGAACGAATTTGATAGCAAAGATTACAATCTCAGAAGAAAGGTTTGTGTATTTGCTCATTTCTCTATGCGTTACTTCCACCTTCACTCGAGCGAAGTGCTACTGTATCTGTCGCTTGGATTCTGGCAGAATTGCCAGTCTTCTTGATTTGATGTTTACAATAATGGGCAGACGAATCAGTTCGCTTACCTACTGCGAGCGCTTCTTATATGCATTTAACCTCTTCATTACCGCGCATTAATATAGATGAGTGGTTTCATGGTACGAGTCCCCGGTTTACTGCGTTTTTTGTTATTTTAAAATTATATAATTTGGCTCCGTGTGCAATGTATGAAATGTACCTGTGTACAACATTGCACGTAAGTTCAAGCTGAACATTCGCTTTGATTTTTGTACACAAGCTCAACATGGTACATGCACCTTCTTAAGTAGATGTTGAACTAATTTTTCGATTGTAAGGATGTGGCCAGGTGTATAATGCGATGCTTGATTTGTAGATTTTAATGCGTGGGAAAAACCACTAGTCCCAAGTGTTTGCCGATATTTTCTACAAAATGTATTGGTTGTCCATTATATACCCCCCCCCCCCCCCACGATTTGTGCAATCGCTTATGCTATGCTATACTACAAGCTCAACATGGTACACGTTTTCGTGAAGAGTGCTAAACACAAACTTCCACGTGTTAAATGCCACCTCTTCCATGTAAACTGTGTTTAAAAGTTTTGATCTTTGGTTGTATTTTTGTATCATTTTGAAAAAAAATCGATTTTAAAGTGTTAATTAAATCGGTGGATCGATCATATTAAAAAAAATGCCATACTATACAAAGTTTGTTAGTTCAAAAAATAGTTAATCCTCGGATTTTTTTTAGCTATAGAACTTTGCATAGTACGGTTTAAAAATAAACAAGGGGGTTCCACATTTTTTCATGTACAAAAATTTGGATTTGTGACTCCGCTGATGTAGATTTCCTCAGTGCCAAGTTCTCAAGCACCACTACTTAGATGCTAAGCCTTGGTAAGAGGCTTGATATAATTAAAGTTCAAGGCTGTTCCAAAAAGATACTTAGAAATATTCTAACTATTCTCCAGTGGGGTGTTTCCTTCCTGCTGGAAATCAGCTGAAATGTTTCCAGTGCATAAGAAGGGATTCAAAAGAAACATCGACAACTATCGCGGCATCACATCGTTGTGTGCCATATCTAAACTGTTCGAGTTGGTCGTTATGGAACCATTAGTCTCTCACTTCAAGCAGCACTTGAGCGAAGACCAGCATGGTTTCATGGCAGGGCGGCCGACTACTTCCAACCTTCTGTGTCTCACCTCGTACATTACGGAGAGTATGACAGACCATATGCAAACAGATGTCATCTACACTGACCTATCAGCCGCCTTCGACAAGTTGAACCATCCTATAGCGATCGCCAAACTGGATAGGCTCGGTATAAACGGCAGTCTCCTACGATGGTTCGCATCATATCTATCTGATCGTCAGTTGGAAGTTGCAATCGACGACAGCCGATCTCCTTCGTTCCCTGCCACTTCGGGTATTCCGCAAGGTAGCCACCTCGACCCGTTGTTATTTCTTGTGTATTTCAATTTTATCCACGACGTCAATTTCGTCGTCGACGGTCCACGACTGTCGTTCGCAGATGACATGAAAATCTATCTCCGAATCCGAGCCATCACTGACTGCCACCTTCTCCAACTCCAAATCAACGCTTTTGCTAATTGGTGAACCGCATGGTTGTAAATCCAACAAAATGTTCAGTAATCACGTTCTCACGGATGAAACATCAAATTACATTCAGTTATATCCTAGAAGGCGTTGACGTACATCGTGTGAATCACATTAAGGATCTGGGAGTCATCTTATGTCGTTTTCGTTTTTGCGGTGTAGCTACACCGGTGCTACACTGCCGAACACCGAAAAAATTTAGGGTGTAGCTATCGGTTGCACCTTTGTTTACAAACAAATGATGATGAACTGTCAATGACTCGCACTTATTGCTGCTTACACTACACCGGTGTAGTGTAGTAAAAACGAAAACGACATTAGATTGTCAACTCACATACAACCAGCATATCTTGTACGTGATCGACAAGGCATCGAGAACGATAGGCTTCATTTTCAGGATAGCTAAAAGTTTCACGGACATCTGTTTGTAGTCGGTTTAGTGTTCCCTCGTCCGGTCGGTTTTAGAATACTGCTACCCTGTATGGAATCCCAATTACCAAAACAGTGTACGAAGAGTAGAGTCTATTCAACGACAATTCATCTGGTTTGCCCTTCGACGATTGCTTTCGAGGGATCCTCCGGTCGGTGCCAGTTAATTCACCTGGATCCTTTGTGGAGTCGAAGAGATACGGCAAGGGCCCTGTTTGTGGCGGACATTCTACAGGGCAGAATCGATTGTCCTTCTATTCTACAACAAAATGACGTTAACGTTCAACCACCAGCACTCCGAAACAACGCAATGCTGAGGATACCTTTTCGCCTTACAAACTATAGTTCGTATGGTGCTATCAATGGGCTACAAATGGTTTTCAATCGTGTTGCTTCCTTATATGATTTTCACTTGGCATGCGAGACGCTGCGTCAGAGATTCCGTGATATATTTTTAAGAATTAGGAATTAAGTTGGACTTCACGGCCTTTGCAGATTGTTACTTCTTGAGTATATTGTATTTCCTAGTATTGCTTAATCCATCATTAAGACTAAACCCAGTCTGAGACCCAAATAAACAAATAAACTATCGAGAAACTGATAAAAATGTACCTGCCGATAACATACTCTCTTTGTAATAAGAATTAACAATAATTAAGAAATGTTTTCAAGTTTCGTTTGTTCCAACTTTCAATTAATTTTTCAACCGTGTACGGGTATTTTGTTTTAAGAAACTAAATAATATAATTCTCAAAAACTCAAATATCATATAAAAACCGCTTCTGCTATAGGCGAACGCTTGCTCGGCTGTCTGAAAACGGTGTAAAAACGTTACTTTTTAAAATTATTAAAAAAAATCAAAAATATAATAATACATTGAATTGCATCAAATGCGTAGGTGCTAGAGAAGACATGAAAGAACAAATCAAGAACAACATGTGAAAAGGGTATACAAGCTTTTTGTAAACAAACATTCTTATGCCCTTTTCTCGCCACCCATATGACACCAACGCAAACCATCAACATCTTCGGATAGGGGAAGGTTTCCCCTTCCCGATGATGTTGTTAGTTTGCGTGGGCGACCCTCGGTTGGCGAGAAGAGGGCCTACGATGGTTTGTTTACAAAAAGCTTGTACATATGCCCTTTTCACATGTGGCTCTTGAAATGATGTTAATCTTAGGGTGGGCGTCTTGTCCTGTCTACCCCTATGAAGCATATTCATAAATACGCGGTGGAACTATTTTTATTCATATGACCCAATATCTAAGATATAGAGAAAATTGTATGTCCGTTATGTGACAAATATCACAAATCTGAAGGGGCTACATAATTCTGATACTTTTCATTTGCTTCGCCAATGTCTGTGTGGCGGTGGTAAGCTTCAACCCGGATTATCCATGATCCCTGATGATCAGTCAGATGTTTGTTTAGAATCCAACTTCAATAACGAAACAGCCCGACATTCTTGATTGAGACATAATCCGAGGATAATACTGGTCGGAGTTCACCATCATATCAGTGTTAGCTCAAACTGGTCATAAGCGGGTATGAGATAGACAAGATACTGCGAAAACAACGCTAAATCAGCAAAATGTTAACTTTAAAAAAAAATACGCAAACGACGTCAGACCAATGTTTTTTCATTCAAACATTTTTTTGCTACTGCATTGCATAGATTAGATTCACCAATAGTGAGTAACCATTCGTTTTGTATTTTTTTGTCTCTGTCTTCCATTCATAAAAAAAAATCTACACGCGCTGCCGATTACATCACGAAACAAACCTATACAGAATGGCGGCCGATAGTGACGGTGATCAACAGAACAACAACAGCAGCAGCACGCTGAAGGCGGTTGTCATTTGCGAGGGAAACCTCCATGATCCCGATTTCCAAACGCGACTAGACTGTCTGGTCGCGAAACTTACCACGTTGGTCGAAGAGCCAGCAGATAACGGACAGCTTAAGGTGGACAAGGTAGGTTGCCCGTTCCTCTGTTTTGTATTAGAGTAGATAAATAGTATCAAACCGGTTGTTGTCAATGTGTTCGTGTTTGCAGGTTGAACCATGGAACAGCGTGCGTGTCACTTTGTCCATTCCCAAGGAAGCGGCTGTGAAGTTACGCAAGCTCGCTGCCGAAGGAAACAGTGCCCTTCGAGCTCTCGGAATACTGTCCGTGCAGCTAGAGGGCGACACCGTGTTATCGCTCAGGCTGGTGGGACAGGAAATTGTGTTGAGAACGGGTAAGCTTTTGCGATTGATTTTTCTTTTTGCAGTCAGAAATGATTAACTTTGGTTCAATTTGTTCTTTGACTCGCGCAGATAATTCCACCCCTGCGGGGCCAACTTCTGGCAGTGGTGCTTCAAGTGGCTTAGGAGAGTTGACTCGGATACTCTCCCAACAACAACAACAACAACAGCAGCAGCACCAGCAACAGCAACAACAACAGCAACAGCAACCTACTCAGTTGCAACACGGGCAGCAACAAGCTTTGCCTCAAGATGCCGTAGCGGGTCCTTCGAAAGCTACTCCTCCCATGCAACCAAAGCCATCGGTTGCGTCTGTTGCTCCAGTTGCCACAACGGCGGCACCAATAGTCAATGGTCCCATTGCAGCGGAAAGCACTGTGTTCAAATCACCCAACACAATATGCCCCATGGATGGCAAGTTGCCTGTGCATGTGCCAAATGTGGTGGATAGCTGTGAATATCCCTTTGAAAGTATGACTCAGGCTAGGGTTATTCAACGGAGGGAAAATACGCTCGGTATGGTTCCCCCACCTGGTCCGAGCGGTGTTCCGAAACCACCCCTGGTATCATCTGGTGGTAGTCATTTTGTAGCACCAAATCCACCACCACCGCCTCCACCTTCATACCAAGCGGCAGTTGCGGCTGTAAAAAGTGGCCCACCAACTGCGACAGGCTCGGCTGGAACAAGCACTACAGGAACGATTGGGAACGTAGCAATGACTAGTCCTTTGTTGGTGAATTTGCTACAGAACGAAAGTGCTATTCCGCAAATAGGAGGACCAAAGACAGCGCCGATTATCAAACAAGAACTCATAGCGGCCAGTGGGGCGGGGACAAGCGCAGTGAAAACTCCCGTTGTAACGGGAACTGCGCCGAATTCTAGTGTAGTGAATATGATCAATGACAATGAACTAATTGTGAACAGCAGTAGTGGTCAAAATCAGAAGACATCGCGTATTGCAACAAATAGTAGTAACAATCCAGTGAATCCAGTGATCAGTAACAGTGGTAGCGTCACAGTGACAGTCGCCCATACGATATCCGCTGCTGTGACGTCAAATAGTGTCACGAATACACAACAGACAATATTAGTGAACAACAGCAACGCTGGTGTTGGGCCGATGGCAACCGGAGCTGGATCCGGACCAACGATCAGTGCTAATGCTAACACTAATCTTAGCATAACGACAAACAGTAGTAACATAAACAATACCGCTAGTAACAATCAGAATGTTTTAAATGTGCCGCCTTCTCTAGTAACTCCACCAATGTCAGTGCCTTCTTCACATAAAAACGTTAGTGTGCAACAACAACAACAACAACCAAGATTTAATCTCGGCCCCAGTGGGGCTCCCGTAGTAAGGCCTTCCACTCAGCAAACCTTAAGACCGCAGGTGATAGGAGTTGGATTGGTACAACAACAGCAGCAACAAGAACTGCATCGACCACCTCATCAATCGCAACAACAACAAACGCATTCCCAGTTAAGCTTAAGTCGGTTTCCAATCCAGCAACAGCAACATAATGCCCCCTTCAGACAGCCTCAGGCAGTGCAACCACAACTACAACAACAACCGTTCAATCCTCGATGGGCTGCCCCAAACCCTATGGACTCTGCTACAAAATCCAGCTACCAGGAATTCACCCGATATCAGTTGCAGTACAATCTTAGTCAACAACAACTGAAACACCCACAACAGGGTGCATCAGCAACTGGCGGGGATCTTCTAGGCCTTGGAGACCTTCCGGATTTGGGGAAGAACGATTTAGATTCGCTCCTACCGGCGTTAAACTCTGCCGATCTAGAGGGAGCTTTTCTGGATGGGCTGGACCTTGATCTCGAGCAATCCCTTGCAGCCACAGGCGGGCTTCCGAAGCCGGAGCGAAGATGGAAACAGCAGTTTCTGATAAACCCTCTCACCGGTGAGCTAGAGGAAACCCAAGTGGAAGAAACGGAAGAAAATGACGAGGACGCATCGAAGAGTTTTCCGGAATTTCATTCGGAATTGTCCAATTCGTTGTACTCGGACGATGACACGTCGTGTAGTACGGGCTTTTCAAAGTTCACCTCCGACATTAGCGACACCGAGCGGTCCAACACAATGGACGGAGCGGGTTCGAGTGGATTTTCAAATGCCGTTCCCGGGGCGGTCACTGCAGCAACGGTGGGAAAGCTATCCAAAACGGGAAAGGTGAAAAAGGATAAGCTGAAGGACGGAACCAAGGGCTCTGTAAAAAATAAAGAGAAGAAGCCACGGGAGAAGAAATCGTCTTCTTTGAAGCAGGTAAAGACGAAAGCAAAAATTGTAGCCACGGAAAGTGGCGGTGAATCTCCCGGTAGCCAGGAAAAGATCAAGCTTAGATTGAAGCTCGACAAGTCTGAAGCCATCAGCGTAAGCTTGGTACAACCTCACCCGATCAGCGGCGGTGTCGGTGGCAGTGGTTTGACCAGTAGTAAAAAAGTGCAATCATCACAAGTGCTAGGAGTGACTCCCGGAACGCTTAGCGGGATGGGGAGTATTTCCAATCCGTCGGTGGTAAATATTGGTTTGACGTCACTGCAGGCGTCATTATCTACGAGTTCGCTCTCTTCTTCTTCCTCGTTGTCCGTACCTGTTGGCAATGTCATGCCACAACAGTTGCAGCATCCATTGTCACAGCAAGTTCTCGGTAGTACTTTCACTGGTACCAATAACAGTGCCGGTATCAGCACTGCCAGTTCGAGTCTTCAAACGCAATCTCCCGCTGGCGAGGAGCTTCGAGTGCCCCCTTTACACATCAGTTTACGAGGAAAAAACTCTGTGGTCATAAAAAATTCGAAAAAGGATCGGAAAAAGAGTCAAAGCGGTGGTGAAGAGGATAGTGATGGGAATAGTTTTCAGCTGAGTAGGAAAAGCTCCATCAAACGAAGTAGTCATTCCACGGACAGCCGACTAACGGTGGTAATGACTAGCGATGCAAGCATTCGGTTAAAAGTCGATGACGCTGCATTGCCTGGGACGTCCGGACCTTCTTCGATGCCATCCTCACCGAATCATCACAACCACAATAGTATTGGTAACAGTGGAAGCAGTAACTCGCTGACTACGTCGATAGCTGCTGTTGCCGGTCTCAAAGCTAAATCGAATAAAATGGAAGATCTGAATCAGCCATTGACGGCAAATGACCTGTTGGTCCCGTTGGACCAGCAACATAAACGTTCAGCGCCGGACTTAATTCTGAGTCCCAATGGAATGATGTGTCCTGAGAAAAAGCGACGTCTTAGCACTGGTTCTAGCACGAACCAGCAACATACGGGCGCAACGGACGAGTCGAGCATAAGTGCAAGTAATAGTAGCAGTAGTAGTAGTAGTAGTGCAGCCACCAGTATAAATGAAATCAATGAAATTTACGAGACACTGATCTCGAACACCGTAAGTGGACCTATTGGGTCGACAAACGTTGGCACGTTGCCACACTCATCCCTGTTAGCAGCGGCAACGTCGTCAGCAAAAAACTTGAAGAGCTCCAGCACGAACAACAGTATCAACAACAGCGCGTTTGGCAAATGCATTAGCAACAGTAAGAACTTGGTAAAGCCAGCGCAGTCGAGCCCAACGACGTCGTCCGTGTCATCGCCTGGAGCTCTGGCTGCTGCACCGAATACTAAGAGCTCGACGCAGTCCTCAACAAAACAACCATCGTCATCCCCTTCGTCAGAGACGGCAAAAAGTGGCAAACCGCCGGGAAAAGGTGATTCCGACCTTGCCACAGGGGATACCGATGGGAAGGACAATGAAAGTAACAAAACAAGCAGCAATACAGCAACCACTACCTCAGGTTCAGAAGTGTCCATCAATCAGCGGATAAACAACACCCATCTACACCATCACAATCGTCCACCGGAAAAGCCTGGCGATTCACCCGCTAATACGTTAGAACAATCCATCAGTCAACAGCAACCTCCAACGATAGCCAGTGCCAGTGGACATTTACTGGCGCAAGGGGTACGTGGATCACCCGGATCTCAAGCACAAGGTGAAGACAGTGGAATTGAGTCTATGGATGCTTTATCGGAGAAAAGTCCCCATCAGTTGTCGCATAGTCCTCAAGGCAATGAGCCAAACAAGCTGCTTCGGATGGATAGTCCCAAGGATAAAGCGATACCTGCAGTAGAATCAAAAGAATCATCGAAAGATGACTCCAGTGGCAATAATAACAACAACAGCCACTCAAATTTGGACGAATACATCCAAATCGAAGCGGAACTGGCAAAGATGGAAGGCCTGAACGATATTGCAGCCACCGAAAGAACAGCCAAGCTGAACGGCGATCATTCGACTTTGATGAAACCCAAGCAGCAGGAGTTGGACCTTTTAGATCACAATGCTTTGCTAAAGTATGATGGGGCGAATCTTAGCAAAATTCTGGACGACATTGAAGACGATGAGCTGGTAATGTCGGAAGAACCTGCCACGAAAGGGAAATGCATTGAAGTGTCTTCCAGTGAAAATTCAACTCTAAAGCAGCAGCAGGACTCGACAACCACGGTGGTCAAAGGAGAAGAGGCAGAAGACTGGCTTGCAAATGCGGGAAATCAGCAACCAACACAACAACAACAACAACAACAACAGCAGCAGCAGCAACAAAAAGGGGAAGCAAATGTTATACTCACTAGTAATAGTAACAATAATCTGACGGACAAGGCCGAGATCAAGCTGGATACCAAGCAACTCGTGTTGGATGATTGTTGTAGCAATAAGGAGGTGTTAAGTTTAAAAAGCGAATGTGATAGTAAAATAGTTGAATGTAAAGCTGTAATTAAAAATGATCCCGATGAGGCTATCGTTAGTAGTATAAAGCAAGAACAAACCTGTAACAAAAACAGCACTAATAATAGCAGTAACGGCAGCAGCAGCAGCACCAGCAGTAGTAGCAATCCATTGAAAGCGAAACCAGTGATTACGACAGAAACGGAAGGTGATAAACATAATCCGACGGTTAACGTTGCTGCATCCGCTGAAAAGAAAGATGTGATAGCTGACGGTACAGTTGCTGTTGTTGAGCCAAAGCCACGACATGAACAACCTCCGCTCTATAGCTATTCTAGCGAAAAGGCTCGCGAACGGCGATCTGCTGCCAACATCACCGCTTCCAATTCTTCTACATCGTCGGTGGTTGAGATAATAGACTTGGATGATTCCGGCAAGTCTAATGATCTGGAAGTTCCCCACCAGTCCGAACAGCAGCAGCAGGAGCAACAACAACAACAGTTACAACAAGAGAATAAAGAAATTCATTCGCCGTTGTCGATCGATATTCCTTTACATCCGGAATCGGCCGAACATCGGATAAGAACGCGAGCCTCCAGTAAGCTAGAAAGTCCGCTAGAGCCACCCAAGCAGAGTCCGTCTATCGATTCGCCGGCTGCTGAAAGGCTGAAAAATACCTTGAAACACGCTGCAATTGCTTCGAACATACCAACACCAACCGCTGCCGCCAGTGGAGATCGGCTAAGTCCAAAAACCCTACCGAAAACTGGTAAACGGAAACGTCAAGGATCGGAAAGTTCGACCCAGTCCTGTGTCAGTGATGACATTCTTCCGAGTCGGACGAAGAAACCTCGAAAAGCGGCAGCTGCTGTAGTGGCTGCCGTGGCGAGTACTGAACGACAGAAGAAAACCGTTGCTATTCGTAGTGCACAGCAAAGAAGAACAGTAACAGAAACACCCTCTTTGCATGTGCAAAGTACGCCAACTGCACCAGCTTCGACGGTAGAAGATTCATCGGATAGTGATGAACCTTTGATAGAGATAGCGGGTAAATTTCGTAATACTAAACTAACTAAACCAAGTTCTTCTTCTACTACCACTTCTTCTACCACTTGTACTACTACTTCGACTACAACATCATCATCAACCTACTCCTCATCCTCCCCCACAACAGGTGCCAGTTCGGGATCTTCGTCTACGACAGCGTCAGCGTCGAACGAAAAAGAAAAGACCCTTCGCAATCATAAGGCGTCGACGGGAGCAAAAACAAGTGGCACTTCGCAGAACTCATCGTCGTCATCGTCGACCAATAGCGTTAGCTCGGGGGTTACAGCGGCGAATGCTGCCGTCTCTCACAAACTAAATGCTCATTCCGGTAGATCTGTACATAATGCGTTGTCGTCGCCATCGGTTTCAGCGACGGCAGCATCCCCGGGTACGAATACTATCTCAACATGCGACGACAAAATTAGCACTCGTAGAAGTGTTCGGATGACGACGTCTACTCTGTCGACAGCTGCCATGAACAGCAAAGCAAAAGCGCACTCTAATCCAAATTCTTTGACCGCAACCGGTGCAATCGCGGACAATCTTCGTGATTCAGCGCATCACCATGCTGGTGCATTGCACCCCAAGAATAACCATGCAAATCATCAGCACTCGTCGTCGCCTGGCGGTACTGCGAAAGGATCTGCACCGGTGTTGGACGGCAAGATTGCCGGAGCAGGTGTCAATAGTGTGACGTCGGTGACCAGTGACGCTCCCCCTACTCCAGCGACGGAGGTACGACGGAAAACCAGGAGTGCGGGTAAGTTGTATCACTTTTTTTTTTTTTGCATATGCTGCCGGTTTCCGCATATCCGTCCCATAGTGAAGATCAGCAAGCCGAGAAAATCGCAATTTAAAGTTTGATTCGTACTATTGCTGTGTTTCCAAACTTTTTCAAAAAAGTAGAAGGGTCTGTGCCTAGGGGCACGAACGGAAGCTTGACGTAGGACCGCTAGTGGACGGAATAAATGTGAAGAGCATTTAGTTCTTTTAATTGATCAATTATCTATTATCTCAACTCTTTCCGTTTTTGAATTGTAGGCGTACCAAATTTGTAGAAATCTTTTTCAAAGAGAAAGTTGATTAAGAGAATCAATCAAAATCACTTGCACCCCTGCTTCCAAGTTTGGTTACAAGATTACAACTCTGGAGAGCATTTTGTGTGGTCGTTGGGGGCTTGTGGTTCTGAATATGGACAAACAAGCACAGATAAATTATATTCCAACTCTTTACTGATGTAAGCTTGATGGCCCTGAAAAGGGCCGTTTTATTGAAGAGTACATCCATGGCCACTTACGCTTGGCGTGTTTAGTGTAGGTGACAGCATCACGGACCTCATTTTTCAGGAACACCTTCAGCACACCTCGTAGATCAGGCCGGAGATACGTTTGACACCACCATGGCGAGCCAGACGACCGATGGTGGTTATGTCGAAGAACTTTGCGATGACGCTTGGCGCCTCCTTTACCAGACCTTTTCCTCCTTTGCCACGACCAGTCAATTGTTGCTTGTTAGGTGTGAAGGAGTGGACTAGCCACCACCTTCCTACTGCTGCTATTGCTATTCACCTCGCCGTCGGAAGCGAAAATGAGCTAATGCCATACAGTAGCGCTCGTTTAAATCTTTTCAGGTTAAAGCAGAATGATGTGCAACCAAGTGGTATAAAAGCTACAAAGACTCCTCCCATTATGAGTAGTTTGCTATCAAGTAGCGACACTGGCTCTTTTCCTTTTGCGTACACGACGAATGAGAACGACCCAAATTTGAGTTTAGTTCACTCATAATCGCCAAAAGTGCAGGAACTCAGCGATGAGTAAATGTGTCTCATGGTTTCCTGTGGAAAACCTAAAAAATCTCCCTAGCAGCACACATGTCACTGAACAATTGTGGTTACTTGTGTGCCACTTATTCCAGTCAAAATCAAGTTGCAGCAGCTTATTTCTATCGAAGTGTGCTGCTTGGGCTGCCAGAAAATGAGGAAATTGACGACAATTTTATTCAGTCTCGGAGTAGAACCAATAGACTGAGTGAATCCAATCTTTACTTTTCTCAATTTCGGGAATTTTTCCCTGGAAAATCCTGGAAAAACCTGGGAAAACATGAGACAAATTGACTCATCGCTGAGTTCCTGCACTTTGTTTCTTATTTCTGAGATAACTAAACTCAAATTTGGGTCGTTCTCATTCACCGTGATATCACCTTGAAAGATATCGGCGCCGGTGGTTAGCGTGATTACCTCTCACCCCAGCAGGCCTGGGTCCAATCTCAGTCGGCGCCACCGGCATGTTCTAAGGCATAACATCTCTGATCACGCCTTCCTTCGGGAAGTAAAGCCGTTGGTCCCTGGTTGAGTTGATGGGTCGATTGGTAGGGTCCAGGTGTGAGAGCTGCCTTCCTGGCGTCGGTAGCATTGGAGCTCAGTACGGAAAACAAATCTCGCGTCACTTTTCAATAGGTCCTATCTACATTGATCGATTCTCTCCATCGACACTCTCTTTCGTAAATAACTCGCCTTCACAAATGTTTCCTGCCGTTTTCGTCGAATTAGATGATAGATTGTTGCTTCTTCCATCGAAAATATCCGGCCGTGGCGATTCAAAGTTGATCAAGGTTGATTCAAAGTTGATCAAGGTTGATCAAAATAATTTGTACCCCTGGTTCCAGTTTGATTACATGAGCATTTTGTGTGGTCGTTGGTTCTGAATATGGACAAACAGGCAGATGAATTCTATTGCTGTAATAAGGTTGGTGGCCGGCCCTGAAAAGAGCCATTTTGTTGCCAAAGTTGGTGATGATTTAACCTCCGAAACCAAACAGAGTGCGTCTCTGTCACTTCAAAACGCTTGGCGTGCTTAGTGTAGGTGACAGCATCACGGATCTCATTTTTCAGGAGCACCTTGAGCACACCTCGTAAATCAGACCGGAGATACGTCAGACACCGCCACGGCGAGCCAGACGACGGATGGTAGTTATCTCGAAGAATTTGCGTTTGGTTCTGAATATGGCGATGAGTGTGCAAAATATTACGCAATTCCATCTTTCCTATTCGCACGCTCCCGAGGATCGGAGGCGAATGCCACTTCGACTTGTTTCGTCTACTTACTACTCTCTGACGACTGTGCTGGGGAAGCAGTATATGCAACAATCAATACGAAACTAACGATTTTAAATTGGCTCACCACTTTAGTAGCCTATTGGTCCCAAGCAAACGATTAACGTACCCTATTCTAGTTGAAATTCTATTACTACACTATGTTTGTTTTGATTCGCTATGAAAGTTTGACAGATAACATCAGGGGTGTGTGGATTCATGCAGAACATGCAGGGGTGAGTGAAATAGCTTGGGACTGCTTGGGACCGTTGTTCTGGTACTGAGTGAGCCAAAAATAATAATGATTTTCTTCGGGACCCAGTAGTCTTAGAGTTACCTCTATGGTATATGCATGTAGGTAATTGGTGGATTTGTTAGTTAATTCGACGCTTTTGGACAATGCTGGACATTTACCAGTTTTTCAATAGTTTCTTGTTAAAAATCAACATTCGAAAGCATTGTTATCGATGCGTAGCCATATTTCTGATCGATTGGTGATAAAATTATTGAAATTGGACCAGGGGCAGCTGAGTTATTAACGTTCAAAATCTTTCTTAATTTGTTACATGTTCCATTTTCGGTTTTCACAAAGTGTACCCCCATATAGAAATCAAAGACGTAGTCCTACGTCAAAAAATTTAGTTCATCCAGTATTATGAAAATATGGGGTGATTAGCTACCATTTCCATTGAAAACATAATTTAGACAAAAACGGCTATGGGAGCGACATGCTAAAAGCGGCAGTATAGTGGGTGGGTAAAGGGATTGAATATTTATGCGGTGTCGGTTATAGTCGGTGCGGCAACATTTCGGCATACCTCATTCCACTTCGGCACATCCCCATTAAAGCAGTCATTCGGCAGCCTTGTAGATGTTTTTTAAAGAGCAAATCTACCAATGCCAAATGATGAATCGATCAAATTTTACCCTCTCCGAATTTGCATATTTATGGGTATTGGATTTCGACTCATGTTTATTTTTTTTAAAATAGCGTATTCGATATTTTTCAATAAATCATTCCACGAAAACGGTTCTTCTAATCTAAATCACTTCTGAGACAAAGTTCTAGGAAACTGTATTACCTTTTGAGAAACAAAATACTGTAAAAATACAAATTTTGATCAAAACATGAAGATGTTTTTAACAGCTTGATCAGCTCAGAGAATCAACTAACTGAAAATTTTCGGATAATGGTATTGCTTGGATGGATTTTTTATTGCTTGGAGTAGCAATTTTATGGTTGAATAATGATCCAAAGATACGTACACAAGCATTGCATTGACAGCCTAGAATACTCAATATTCAATAAAGCCACTCTATGCTTTATTCAATTTGCTAGGTCTTCATTGTAAACCTGGTTAGCTCGGAATATTAGCTTCTCGAGGAAGTTTTAGTATTGTGATGTTACTGCTATTGTAATTCCCAAGTCCATAGGCAAGTTATTTCGCCTTTTTGACTACCAGTGTTCTTAAGTTCTGATGAGGCTCGTATAAGGCAAAAAGGGCCACTTATTCGGCTAATTGGTTACTTGGGTTGAGATGGAATTAAGGTTCAATTTACTTTGATGCATTTTGGAAAAATTCAAATGCAGTTTTTTCGACGCATCATTTCATATTGCAAAAAGCTAGCGTCATTTTGTGTAAAATAGCAAAAAGAATAGAATGACGCGAGCTTTTTGCAATCTGAAATGAAGCGTCGAAAAAAACTGCATTTGAATTTTTCGAAAATGCATCAAAGTAAATTGAACCTTAACTTACAGAATTTTGGAGGTCAAAGTGCTGTTTCTACGATTTCCATTCGGAGGAATCTAATCTTGAATTAGTGTTTGATTAGGCGTATTATCCGAACTAATTTTCGTGCGGAGGTGGGTCTCAATCAAAATGTACTCAACGGAAGTGTTATAATTTTAAAATTTACAACCATATTGCCAATAAACGACGGCGTGCTTAAGAAAGTTATTTACGATATGGTCAAAAATTTCCAAAATAATAGACGTCGAAAATTTAGAATTATAAATGTACTATTTTTGGCCATTTTCAACCAGCCCGTCAATTTCCGGCAAGCGCTTCCAATAATTTTATATTACTATATTATATTTGTAGTTCTGTGTCAAAATTTCAGCTCAATTGTTCGTAACAAAACATTGTTGCAAAATGCCAAAGTGTGCTAGTTGGTATGAAAATCGGCCTATTGTCCTATTTTAATGACCACAACTGTATGTGATTCCTAATCTTCTATTCGTTGTTCCCTAGTTTAAAGTGGTTAAGACTAGGGTCCTAATGCATGGTCATTATCGGTGTCATTGCTTATTTTTGTTGCTAAGTAATTCAATTTTGACTAACAATGGGGCGGTCTTTGGAGGGTGTTCTCACTTTTTGAAGACACCGAAAAAAGTTAGCATGTAGTTTCCATTGAAAATGCACTTGATTTTCATCCATAATCAAAATGAATGGAATTAATATGAATTTCACATAACATTATTATGCGATCCCTTTAAATTTATGTGATCTTGCAAATGAATTTCATCGGCCTCATAATATTCATATGATGTTGTGGTGGGATTTGCTGCTATGTGATCAGCTAAAAGCTATGTAAAATTCACATGGATTTCATCCATTAGATATGTGATAAATTTTTTGAGTGTATATATAGCGGGATCTTTTAATTAT